GGTTTGTTAAATAAGGCAATAGACGTTAATCACAAGTACTTGGTGACACGAGAAAAGCTTAAGGGCTCGTTAAACAGGAAATACAAGCTGCACTAACCAAGCATGTCTCGTTAACCCAAATTGATTCTATATCATAACGAGAGGTAGTCTAATGGCCTCGTTAAGCATGACATTAGACATTAAAGCAGCTTAATTCATCATAACCGGTTCGTTGTTGTAGTAAAGAAGCTTAGAAGCCTCGTTAAACAACACTATGTAAAGAATCAACTAGCCCACCTGGAAGCCTCGCTAATCAAGACAAATAGACGCAACTAACCCGTCTGGAAGCTTCCTTATCCAGGGAGGTGATCGGCCGACCACTAATGGCCAGACAGGTGTAATCGCGCCATCTGTGGGGTTCTTCAGGGACTTCCTGCCCCCGGGACCTGATAACTCCAGGTGGCTGCCCGAGACGCCACCTGTTGGAAGCGTCTGGAACCTTCCCGAGACTAACCTGTTGGAAGTGTCTGGAACCTGCTCGAAACTCACCTGCTGGAAGCGTCTGGAACCTGCTCGAAACTCACCTGCTGGAAGCGTCTGGAACCTGCTCGAAACTCACCTGCTGGAAGCGTCTGGAACCTGATCGAGACTCACCTGTAGCTACAATAGAGTCCTATCAGGTAAATCTTCGGATATATTCCACGTGTTTCCAACAGGTGAAATTGGGCAGGTTTCAATATGGGGCCCCTGTAATCACCTAGTACTCTCATGTAATCACCTAGTATCCCTGTAATCACCTAGAACCTCCTGGACTCATTTAGTACCTCCTGGAATCACCGAATATCTCCTGGAATCACCTAGTTTCCCCTGGTATCACCTAGTACCTCCTGGAATCACCTAGTACCTCCTGGAATCACCGAATATCTCTTGGAACCACCTAGTAACCTTGGAATCACCTAGTACCTCCTGGAATCATTTAGTACACTTTGGAATCACCTCATACCCTCCTGGAATCACCTAGTAAAAAAAAACAGGGAATAACATAGTACCCCCTAGAATCACCTAATACCCCGTGGAATCACCTAGTACCTTCCTTAAATAATCTCTTTGTATTGTTTACGTACAGTTTTTACGTATAGTTTAGCGTCGCTGTACAAACCACAAATGTACAGTACTTCCTACACCAACTTCAGTTTCGTGCACCTCAATGTGATAAGCCGAGCGACGCGGTACAGGTGTGGGGGTAATTACCTGGCGATTACATTGGCACATTATTCATGACAACAAATCCAGGCCGACACGCGGGAGAGGTTTAAGATGGGCGGTTTGGTCTCTCAACCTTCAGAAATCGATGGTAATGGCAGCTATGTGTGTAATATGCCGAGTGTCGTATGGATTTCTCGTTCTCAACTAAGAGCTGTTATATAGATAGACGACTTGAGTTGTGTGTTGAGTTGAGAATCAATTACTCACGTCTCTTTAGCTTTCCCTGGCTCACTTTTTCTCTCTTTTATTGTATATATTTCTTTCTTTCCTTTTTTCTCTCTCTCTCTCTCTTCCTTTGCTCATCTGTCTTTCTGTCTGTCACTGGATTTACTTTGTTTTAATCTTCAGCAAACGACCGATACTGTCAGGGTCTTGAGACAGCAGAGGGCAGTGCAGCCAATACCGACACAGCAGCCCTCAACAGCTGAGTACCCCAGACAACCAAACCTTCACATTCCCGGCATCGAGGGTGTTTTGTCTTGGCCCACCATTAAGATGCTTAACAGAGACGGCAGGCAAGTGATGCTCCATCTTCTGGTTAAAGACAATCTCTCTCACTGATTACGTCCGAACGCCTTAACTCCATTGATCTTCTCAGAAGCTTTCAGTAACGCTGTTTTTCTGCTGACAATTAAACTGTTGAGGTAAGACAGCGGGCGATTCACTATCTTGTGGCTAAAAGCAACTTTCTATCTCTCGTTATTTTTCTCTCTCTCACAGTGATTGCTTGTGAAGATCTAAAGTCCATTGATCTCAGAATCGCCAACATTTATATTCTTTTTCTAGTGACAATTAAACTGTGGAGCAAAGACAGTGGGCGATATTGTATCTTGTGGCTAAAAGCAACCCCATCCCCCTCTCTCTCACTGATTACTTGTTATTGTCTATTGATCTTTCAGCATCCTGAACATTTCCTGTTTTTGTTTTTGTATTCCTTCAACTGACGTCTGAGATACCTGACAGAGACGGTGGGCGAGGCCGACTCATCCGGCGGAGGAACATCCCTTTATAAGATATCTTGGGAAGATCCAACTCGTCCTACAACCTTGAATCATCTTTGTTTTTTGTCTTGAGATGACGATTAAGGTGTTTCCGAAAGACAACAAGTAGCAACACACCTCCTGGTCACGGGAAACCTCATCTCACTGATTGTTTGTGAAAATCTATTGAACATTCCACTATACTGGGAACATTTGGTGTCTTCGTCCACCATTAAGATGCTTAACACCAACACCACACGGCACTGCATCTTCTGGTCGACTGCTGGTGAGAGTCTATGGTGTGATGAACGTTAAAACATCGTGGAGATTGTTTTTTTGTCTTGTTATGACCAATGGGATACTTTACACACACACACACGTAAGATGATAATGTAGCTTTCTATCGAGGGCAGTACGTCACTCTGATGGTTCGTGAAGGTTTATTGGTGTCTGAGCGTCTTGTACATTTCTGATAAATTTTCAGGGGATAACTGAGATGGATAACAAAACAAGTGATGCTCTGGATCTTCTCGTTGATTGCCTGAGAAAGTTTTGGTCTTCCCGGTGCGTTGAACATCTCTTTTTCTGTTTGTGTATGGTGAGTAACACGCCTCACAAGCACGCCAGGTAACGGTGCATCTCCGCACTGACTCTCTCATGAAGGACTAAACTCTATTGATCTTCTCAGCTTCTTGAATTCTTTCCCTGATATTCTCTCCCGATGAAGATAAAATTGCATCCCAGAAACTACAAGTGATGCTTCATGTCAAAGTTAAAGAAAACTAGAATTTTTTTATTTACCTCTGAATGCTTAAGACTTTTACCGACTTGCAAAACTAATTACTTCTGCCCCTCCCCGAAGATGAACGAGGGATGGTGTATCTCTCTGTTAAGGTAAATCTCTCCCTGTGCGGTTACCTGTGCTTCTCACGGTCCTTGCAGCCTCCTCAACACCTTCCCTTTGTTTCGCCTCAAGAGATGACGATGGAGATGTTTACAGGAGGGAATAAGTTGGGTCGTAGCAGCTAGCGACAGGGGGAGTCCATTCTTGTCTAGTGCTATTTGTCTACCTACCCCCCCCTCAAACACACACTTCCTACAACACTATCTTCACCTCCACCTCCAGACCTACACAAATAAATACTGAGATCGTTTACAGCGGATGATTATAGCAGCCTGACAGCGACTTCCACTGCCAACAGACGCTCCAAAGGGAAAAAATAACGCACAAATAGAACTAAAGAGGGTGAGATAGCCGGGAGAATAACAGCCGAGTAAATAGCACAAAGAAGAGTAGCCAAAAGAGCCCCCCTGCGAGTCATCTATAGCAGAGAAGCCATCCAAAACGATAACAATGGCGCTAAAGACGATCTTTTGTGGCGGGCAACAGGAGCCAGGAAGAGGCGGCGCGCCACAACACTCCCTCCATCACCCCGAGTGTACACAAACAATACGCAATTACCTTCTGACGGCTGGCCCGCCCCTGCCACTCCCCCTGCCATACCCCGCCCCTGCCACACCACCTGCCATACCCTGCCCCTGCCACTCCCATTACCATAGCTTGACCCCGTTACTTCCTCCCTGCCCCGTTACTCTCCCCTGCCATACCTAGTCCTCACCGCCCTCCTCTGACCCTCATACTTACACCCTACACACCACATACACCTACACCCAACACACCTACACCCCACCCACACCTACACCCAACACCTACACCCCACCCACCTACACCCCACACCCTACACCTACATACCTACACCACACACCTACACCCCACCACACCTACACCTACACACCTACACTCTACGCCTACACCCAACACCCCACCACACCCCACACTACACCCCACACACCTACACCCTACACACCTACACTCTACGCCTACACCCAACACACCTACACCCCACACACCTACACCCCACACACCACCCCACACACCTACCTCTACCGCCTGCAACACACCTACACCCACACACCTACACCACACCACACCCCCACACACCTACACCTACACACCTACACCCACACCCCTACACTCTACACGCCTACACACCCAACACACCTGCACACACCCTAACAAAGTAACTTGCTAGTGGACGTATTAAAACAACAGAAAAGATAATAACGTACAAGTAAGGCAACCTCCTGCGCTTTGTTTGCCTAGAGTGATAAAGAAAATATTAAGCCTGAACTGCACACGACCTAAGACTGACTTCTCTCTCTCTCTCTCTCTCTCTCTCTCTCTCTCTCTCTCTCTCTCTGTGTGTCGTTTTTCTCTCTATTTGCTCTATATCTCTTTTTAACTTATAACTACATATTGCTTTCTTTCCTTTTCCTTTGTCGTAAAATTACCCCAAGTTAATTTTACTTTTATTTTTCAATTCACAATGTTTCGATGCTGAATCCGTGCCCACTCCCGTCACCCACGACCTGGCAACACTTCCCCGACGGACCAGCGACGTCTTACTAACCTGGCAACACTTCCCCGACGGACCAACGACGCCTTACCACCTGGCAACACTTCCCCCGACGGACCAGCGACTCCTCACCACCTACCAACACTTCCCCCGACGGACCAGCGCCGCCTTACCACCTGGCAACACTTCCCCCGACGGACCAGCGACTCCTCACCACCTACCAACACTTCCCCCGACGGACCAGCGCCGCCTTACCACCTGGCAACACTTCCCCCGACGGACCAGCGACGCCTCACAAGTAAAAGAAATATTCGCTGGACTCTGATAAACAATTGCTACCAAGTCATTAATCACTCACCGTATCAGCGTCACGTTCCTCCCTCGCTCACCGCATCATCCATCACCCACGGGTCGATATATATATATATATACTAGTGGGCGGAGTGGGCGTGGTGGTGACCGTGGGCGTGGGCAGGGAAGGCAGGTGGTGATGTGGGTGTGTCCCGCTCTGTCATACAACGCTCGTCAGTGTGGCGCTGCGCCTGTCGAGAAGAAAGAAGGTATGGTTAATGTAGTGACTGTGTGTGTGTGTGTGTGTGTGTGTGTGTGTGTGTGTGTGTGTGTGTGTGTGTGCAAGTAAAGATTACTCCAACAAGAAAAAAGAAACAACATTTACAACAAAACATTTCAGTGTCACAAATTCAACATCAGTGAAGTACAACAACAGCAGTAAACGACATCATCAATATAACCCGGGCTACATTATCAAAAATCACTAACTTATCAATAAAGGAAGCGTCGACTTAGCTGGGAATATCCGGTTGGGGAGAAAGAAGGCTACGTCGCCGGAAAACCAGTCATGCGAAACTAGTCTGCTCAGCGATCGTATTCCCGGCTTATTCAAGTGTCGTTCTAACATTACATCGTAGGTAAAAAAAAGGCACATTACCAGTCATTCCTTCAGACACAGTTGACGTATTAGAGTAGGTTAGGTTAGGGTTTAATGGACCATTGTGTCGCGCCCGGGTCGAGGAATTAGCGACTCCCGTAATGACCCCGAACTAGTGTGAGGTGATTATGGATGGTTGACACTGTACTCTTATCACATAGCCTGAGTCACTAACTTATCAATAGAAGGAAGTGTCGTGACTTGAAGGTAAATATCTGCTGAGAAAAGAAGGCCATGTCGCCGAAACCAGCTGTGAGAAACCATCGTTTAATGGATTCATCCTCATTTATTCAAGTGTCGTTCTAACATTGGCATGGTAGGTAAAAAAAGGCATTACCAGTCATTCCTTCCAGACACAGTTGACGTATTAGAGTAGGTTAGGTTAGGCTTAATGACCATTGTGTCGCGCCCGGGTCGAGGAATTAGCGACTCCGCAATGACCCTGAACCAGTGAGGATTATGGATGGTTGACACTGTACTCTTTGTCACATAGCTCTGAGTCACGAGAGAGAGAGAGAGAGAGAGAGAGAGAGAGAGAGAGAGAGAGAGAGAGAGAGAGAGAGAGAGAGAGAGAGAGAGAGAGAGAGAGAGAGAGAGAGAGAGAGAGGAGATGGAAGCCACTGAGAGTCAGAGGAAAAGGGATAAGACGATAACAGAAAGAATTGCGCTAATGGAGAGAGAGAGAAAGACACGAAAAAGAGAGAGAGAAACATAGTAAGAGGAGAAAAAGAGAGAAAGAAAATTGGGACAAAAAGAGAAATGAGAGAGTGGAAAGGTGACTGGAGGGAGAGAAAAGAGGAATAATAACGGGGGGAGACGGGGTGAGAGAAAGGGGTAGAGGAGGGAAGGAGAAGGAAATGTGGGGGGGAGAGAAGGGGAATGTGGGGGAGAAGGAACACAAAGTAGGGAAAAGGGTGGGAGAGAGACAGGGCCACTACTTAATTATTCTCTTGATAGATAACATAAGCAACACCTGTCTCGGTAATTAATGAACTAAGGTGGTTGATGGTGGCACATGTGTGTGGGTAGTGTGGTGGCACCTGTGTGTGGGGTAGTGGTGGCACATGTGTGTGTGGGGTAGTGGTGGCACCTGTGTGTGGGGTAGTGGTGGCACCTGTGTGTGGGGTAGTGGTGGCACTCTGTATGAGGGTAGTAGGCACCTGTGTGTGGGTAGTGGTGGCACCTGTGTGTGGGTAGGCACCTGTGTGTGTGGGGTAGTGGTGGCACTCTGTGTGTGTGGGGTAGTGGTGGCACCTGTGTGTGTGGGGTAGTGGTGGCACCTGTGTGGGGTAGTGGTGGCACCTGTGTGTGGCAGTGGTGGCACCTGTGTGAGGGTAGGGTGGCACCTGTGTGTGTGGGGTAGTGGTGGCACCTGTGTGTGTGGGGTAGTGGTGGCACCCTGTGTGTGGGTAGTGGTGGCACCTGTGTGTGGGTAGTAGGCACCTGTGTGGGGTAGTGGTGGCACCTGTGTGAGGGGCAGTGTAGCACCTGTGGGGTGTGGGGTAGTGGTGGCACCTGTGTGTGGGGTAGGGTGGCACCTGTGTGAGGGGGTAGTAGTGGCACCTGTGTGTGTGTGTGGGCAGTGGTGGCACTGTGTGGTGGTGGCACCTGTGTGTGGGTAGTGGTGGCACCTGGGGTAGTGGTGGCACCTGTGTGTGTGGGTAGTGGTGGCACCTGTATGAGGGTGGGTAGTAGTGGCACTCTGTGTGTGTGTGTGTGGGTAGTGGTGGCACCTGGGGTGTGTGGGGTAGTGGTGGCACCTGTGTGGGTAGTAGTGGCACCTGTGTGGGGTAGTGGTGGCACCTGTGTGTGTGGGTAGTGGTGGCACCTGTGTGTGGGGTAGTGGTGGCACCTGCATGAGGGGTAGTAGTGGCACCTGTGTGTGTGTGGGGTAGTGGTGGCACCTGTGTGTGGGGTAGTGGTGGCACTGTATGAGGGTAGTAGTGGCACCTGTGTGTGGGTAGTGGTGGCACCTGTGGTGTGGGGTAGTAGGCACCTGTGTGTGGGTAGTGGTGGCACCTGTGTGTGGGGTGCAGTGGTACACCCAGGGGTGTGTGGGGTTGTGGTGGCACCTGCATGAGGGCAGTAGTGGCACCTGTGTGTGTGTGGGCACCCAGGTGTGGGGTAGTGGTGGCACCTGTGTGTGGGCAGTGGTGGCACCTGTGTGTGTGGGTAGTGTGGCACCTGTGTGTGTGGGTAGTGGTGGCACCTGTATGAGGGGGTAGTAGGGCACCTGTGTGTGGGTAGTGGTGGCACCTGTGTGTGGGTAGTGGTGGCACCTGTGTGTGTGGGTAGTGGTGGCACCTGTGGGTAGGTGGCACCTGTATGAGGGTAGTGGCACCTGTGTGTGTGTGGGTAGTGGTGGCACCTGTGGGGGTGTGGGTAGTGGTGGCACCTGTATGAGGGCAGGTGGCACCTGTGTGTGTGTGGGTAGTGGTGGCACCTGTGTGTGTGTAGTGTGGCACCTGTGTGTGGGTAGTAGTGGCACCTGTGTGTGTGTGGGGTAGTGGTGGCACCTGTGTGTGGGGTAGGTGGTGGCACCTGTGTGTGTGTGTGGGGTAGTGGTGGCACCTGTGTGGGGTAGTGGTGGCACCTGTATGAGGGCAGTAGTGGCAACCTGTGTGTGTGGGTAGTGGCACCTGTGTGTGGGGTAGTGGCAGCTGTGTGTGTGTGGGTAGTGGTGGCACCTGTGTGTGGGTAGTGGTGGCACCTGTGTGTGTGGGGTAGTGGTGGCACCTGTGTGTGTGGGTGGTGGTGGCACCTGTGTGTGGGTAGTGGTGGCACCTGTGTGTGGGTAGTGGTGGCACCTGTATGAGGGTAGTAGTGGCACCTGTGTGTGGGTAGTGGTGGCACCTCTGTGTGTGTGTGTGTGTGTGGTGGCCGGACATCCGACACTATAGGTTTTCACTTCCTGCTCAAAGTTTAAATCACATCAGGATGTTTGACCCACCCTCGCTCTATTACCCCCACCCCCACCACCCCACCACCTCTCTCTCTTTCTCTCTCTATTTCTGTTAGTTTTTGTTTGTTTTCTGTCTCTTTTTCTTTCTCTCTTATTACATATTCACGCGTCATGAATGTGATAATCCTACGCAGACAAAAAACAAGAGAACATCAACTTGGTCACGAATGTGTAAACGACCAGAGAGTTTTGTAAACATTATTCCCACATTAATATTCAGTTTCAGATGTTGTTGTTATGACTGCCTTACATACCAGACACCATCCTATATTAAACAGTGACACTTACACCACACCATACCAGACACCATCTTATACCACACAGTGACCCTTACACCACACCATACCAGACACCATCTTATACTACACAGTGACCCTTACACCACACCAGACTTCACCCTACACCACACAGTGACCCTTACACCACACAAGACTTCACCCTACACCACACAGTGACCCTTACACCACACCATACCAGACACCATCTTATACCACACAGTGACCTTTTACACCCACACCATACCAGACACCATCTTATACTACACAGTGACTTACACCACACCATACCAGACACCATCTTATACCACAGAGTGACCCTTACACCACACCAGATCTCCACCCTACACCACAAAGTGACCTTACACCACACCAGACACCACCCCACACCACACAGTGACCCTACACCACACACAAGACTTCACCCCACACCACACAGTGACCTCTACACCACACAGTGACCCCACACCACACAAGATTCTCACCCTACACCACACAGTGACCCTTACACCACACCAGACTTCACCCTACACCACACAGTGACCTCTTACACCACACAGTGACCCTTACACCACACAAGACTTCACCCTACACCACACACAGTGACCCTACACCACACAAGATTCTCACCCTGCTGACTCACACAGTGACCCTACACCACACCAGACTCACCCTACACCACACAGTGACCCCTTACACCATTATTGAAGACTTCACCCTACACCATTAAAGTGACCCTTACACCACACCATACACCACCCTACACCACACAGTGACCCTTACACCACACCAGACACCACCCTACACCACACAGTGACCCTTACACCACACAAGACTTCACCCTACACCACACAGTGACCCTTACACCACACCAGACTTCACCCTACACCACAGTGACCCTTACACCACACCATACACCACCCTACACCACACCATGACTGATCCTGACCCTGTAAACTGGTAGATACGTAACAGTAAACTAAAAGACAATGCCCATTGTTTACACTCTTCTTAGGTCTATTTTAGCTGCGTCTGCTGGCTCAATGAGTGTCTCTCTCTTGGGGTGAACAATTGACGAACCGACTCACAGAAAGAATAACTTTCCTACAGAGGGTTAAACCATCGTCCTCAAAGGGATTAAACGATCGTCCTCAAAGGGTTAACAAGGTCAGTCACCGCGCCTCCTACCTGACGTCTTAGTAATAACCTTCTGTGAGTCTTGATTCAGTTCATAAAAATTCACAAACAATTTAAAAAAAAATACATTAGTTTGTATCTCCGTCAGTAAACAATACCTATTAAAACTTTTTGTTTGTTTGGTTGACGTTGTATGTTTGTGTTTTACTTGTTTACATGGCGTCGTATGCA